AACATGTTCATGAACTTTGAACTGAACCTGAACTGAACCAAAACTTTAAGTTCAGGTTCAGTTCAGGTTCATAAATTTAAAGTTCAGTTCAAATTCAGGATCAATGATCTGCAAAATTTGTGGTTCATGTTCAGGTTTAGGTTTATTGAACCTGAACCTGAACTGAACTGAACCTAGGAACCCTAGTTCTATATATGCTTTTTGGTACACTTGTTTTGCCATTTCTTGTTCTTTAAGAAATCGTACAATTTAGTTCTATATTTATTTCTTCTTTGTAGCACTCTTTCTCATACTCTAACTCCGTACTTGCAACAATATTATTTATCTCCACTTGCTCTATATATGCTTCTTGGACACTTGTTCTGCTGTTTCTTGCTTTTTTAAGAAAGCGTACGACTTAATTCTATGTTTATTTCTTTGTGGTGCCCCCTTTCATATTCAAACTCCATACTTGTAATAATATTATTGATCTCTATTTGTTCTATATATGCTTCTTGGTACACTTGTTCTGCTATTTCTTGTTTCTTTAAAAAAATGTACGATTTAGTTCTACATTTATTTCTTCTTTGTGGCGCTCCCTTTCATACTCCAACTTCATACTTGCAACAATATTATTGATCTCCATTTGCTCTATATATGCTTCTTGATTACTTGTTCTGCTACTTTTTGTTTCTTTAAGAAAGCGTATGACTTGGTTCTATGTTTGATGTTTGTTAATTCGACCATACTTTACAGGCACACTATATTTGAGCCAAATTCTGGCAAAATCCATACTCTATTCCCAATGATTTAGCTTCAATTATGCAGAGAATATTTTCATCTTGCAAGTTAAATTGACCTTTACTATTAGCATCAGATAAGGATTATTTTCTAATGCAAAAGTTGATATGATGCCACATAGAATAGCAGAAACATATTTGGACCTTTCTACTTTATCAGATTAATTTTTCCCAAAGTTTGAATAATCAGCAATTTTTTCTGAAGTTTGAATGATCATCTTTAAAAAACAAAAAAAATTAATATTTCAATTCAAAAAATATTTGGGTCACGAATATATATTACACGCTTATACAGTACAGTCATTCTCCTCTATAATCACATGGTTTGTTTTACATAAAAATGAAGTAATTATAAAATTACAATAGTAAAGTGATTTTATAAAGTTTTTAATAAATAAATTGCCAATAATTTTTCAAAAAATGGTGCTTATAAAGTGGGTATGACTATATAGGAGGTAACTGTAGAGGAGAATGACTGTATAAATGAAGACTGTCAAAAAAAAAACAAGCTCCAAGTTTTAAGTTTAAAATTTTAGAAGATTGTTTTTCTTTGACAATCATCACATAAAAATAAATATAAACTTTTATTTGCAAAGCCACCAAATTTATATGATCTTCAAATGGTATTATATCAACTTCTGTAGTTGCTATAAAAAATATTTAAAGGTTATAATAAAACAAAACAAAATTAAGTGAAAAATCACAAATAAAGAGTATAAATTTCATATGAGTACATGGCAGTGATCAATTATAACCAATCCTTGACATGTCATTTTAACTGTATAATAAACTAACACTATATTCAAAAAAAGAGAGCTATTTAATTTCAAATTTTAATAGAATATAACTATTAAAATCAGTTACTTAGGTAAAAATTTTCCTTACTGCATAGGCCAAAGACTTTACTTTGTAATCTGCATGGTAGTGATCAATTATAACCAATCCTTGACATGTCGTTTTAACTGTATAATAAACTAACACTATATTCAAAAAAAGAGAGCTATTTAATTTCAAATTTTAATAAAATATAACCATTAAAATCAGTTACTTAGGTAAAAATTTTCCTTACTGCATAGGCCAAAGACTTTACTTTGTAATCTGCATGGCAGTGATCAATTATAACCAATCCTTGACATGTCGTTTTAACTGTATAATAAACTAATACTATATTCAAAAAAAGAGAGCTATTTAATTTCAAATTTTAATAGAATATAACCATTAAAATCAGTTACT